TGAGGGAGGGAAAAGCTTAAGAAGCTATTCTACGAGGGTAAGCTCCCCCAACAACATCATGCAGTAGCCATGGTTTCAAACCCGCCGGCGGGAACTGTAGCCTTTGAACTCCTCCAGGGCCCGAAGCTGCTAGCGATGCCAAAAAATCAGCCGCAAAGTTAGATTCACGGTAGACGTGACGTAGTTCGACATCCCAATCACGATTCATCAATTCTTTCGTAGCCCGAACAAGACTACTATGCACGCCCTGAAATTCAGCCTCACCATTCACCACGTCCGCCACCACTCGACTATCAATATCGGCTAGAACTCTACGATGCCCCAAGTCCCAAGCTAAAGACAAGACTTGAAATAAGCCCCAAAACTCCGCACCATGATAGAACAAAACCCAATGTTCATGGAGAAGCCACCCAATAACTTACCGTTGTGATCTCGTAGAAGGCCACCGCACTCGCCATTCCTGTAGCCGTATTGAAAGCGCCATCCGAGTTACACTTTATCCACCCCAGGCGCGGTGGTTCCCACCGGATCATGCATTCCGAACGCCGGAGCCCAACCTGTCCAAGGCGCAAACAGCTCGAAGTCGCTTGCTTAAGCGAGGCTACGTAATTTCGAACCTCATGGATTTTCCTGTCCACCAAAGGGTCGAGGCCATTGAAAATATAGTTATTTCGCCCTTGCCATAGCCGCCACAAGCTAACACCAAAAGAAAGCTCGTGTCTTTTATTGATTGCTAAACTGAAAGTTGGGGATTAAATTAGAAGCAAAGGTCACTATAAATTACTTAAAAGAAAACACTAGACCGAATCTCCAATCTCCAATTTGTATATAGTCACGACCCTGAGCCGAAAAAGTCCAGGTCTACATAAGTCAAATAAAAAAACTGAAAGAAATAAAAAAACAGAAAAGCAGAGAGACAACAACCAAAAATTACCACTTCATCTGTGAATCTCGAAAATGGTCCAATTTCTTCTTTCTTCTTGTGTTGCGCCTAATCTGTTGTTTATATCTGTTATTTTTTTCCGGAAGAGTTGAGGAAAATCTAAGGACAATGTGAGGGAACAAAGGAAAATGAAAATGAAAAAAAAAAAAAAAAATGGAAAATGAATGGGGTGGTAATTACTAATTTTATGTGAAGCAAAATTGAAGCTGATTTTCATGCGGTGCATCACCAGACACCAATCATATTCGGCCAGGCCATGAAAATTCGTGTACGACAGGGCGAAGTAGCGAATGGTGTGGTTATATGTTCAAATTCCACACCCAAAGCCCAGCCCAGATTCACATCCCTGATTTCTTAGCCCAACCCATATTTTTTTCTAAACAAAAAAAAAAAATAAATAAATAAATAATTAAAATGAATAAAAAAATTAATGACTATTATCTGTTGCAGTTATACGTATGAAAGACTTCATTTTTTGAATTCCATGTCCTATGTAATTTTTATGGATTGCCTTTTTTTTTTGGGCAATTATGTATTGTGGCTCTAAAAATATCTCAAGTTCAAAAGAGTTGTTGCTTTGAATATTTTTGGGGCCCAAAATTAATGCAGTAGTAGGCAGCGATCAAATTTTCTACGTTTCCTCCGGTTAATTTGTCGTGATTTCAACAATAATGAGAATCCCTTCCAATGTACGGGGTTTCGTATTTTAGAATTTCAAAATTTTATTTTAAAAATATATTAGTTCGCTGACTCGTTTATATTAATATAAATAATATCTTGACATATATATTTATTTTTTAGTACAGGAAAAATAATAATCTGACATAATTTGGTTCATCATAATACTCAAATATTGTTTTATCAATAATTTATTGTCGTATAATGTCATTATTATTTAAAACACTTATAGAAGTAATTTTATTTTCTATAAAATGATAAATATTTATATTAATATTATTTATTGATGTAATTAATTTAAAATTATATAAACAAATTTAATGTTTATTAGGAATATGATTATATGGAAGGTAAGATAAAATGGAATGAATGAATTTTAATTGAATAAACTCATCATTTAAGGGAGCATTTAATGCTTCCTAATTTTATGGTAAATAAAATTCAAATAATTTCTCAAAGTGACATGCAATGATGCAATTAATTTTGACCGATTTGTTTTGTTACTATTTTGGTAAATAGGTTATCTTTATATATATATATAGATATAGATAATAATAATAATATATGCCCAATTTTTTTTTTTGATATATAAGGTACACCATTTTATATGTAATCTGATGCACTCAACACCTCGCGATCTAGTTTCATTCTTATGATCCAATCTCTAAACCTATTAGTATGTAAAAGACCTTGACCCGACTTAGCACGATCTAAATCCACTTCTTGATTTGTTCGTAGATTTGTAAAATGGGTCGGGAGAGATTTTCGACGTTAGCAACCAAACAATCAATTTAATCCACAAACAATCAATTTAATCCACACAGATGAAGAAGACGAGGAACACAAGATACAAGCCTAGCTTCTAAGAATATAGTATATAAATGGTAAATGAACATACCGCAACTTGTATATAGGGGTGTTAATTTGTTGTTCAAGTATGCTCGGGTGGTCTACCCAAACTGTCCGAGCTACCCGTTCGTACTATCCAAACTGCTCGAATTGCTCAATTCTGTTACACCACATGACCCAATTTACGTGTGGTGTTAATCCTGGTTATATTTCTTCTTATCCAATAGTCTTTTTGTTAGACGGTCTTATCGTGAGACTGACCCCACTCCTCATGAGGTAGATCGTCTTCCCAGCTAGGCTTATGTACTCTGTTTTCTTGGTCAATCCTTCGACCTGCTTCCCTCCAGATCGAGTTTCTACTAAACCATCTGAGAATCCTACCTCGACCTGTCGGCGATACCTCTTAATGTAGCGTCTTCGTCGACCTGATGACTCCCTCGATCTCCGATCGTCCTACTTGTTTACCCTGTCCAGTTGACTGATTTCTCAGGTCAAGTCAATCCGATATGGTATTCCATATCACCTATAAAACATATAAAGCACATAATGATGGGAGAGGTTCTCGGCTTACACTCTAATGTTCAATTAAATTCATACAGTGCGCATGAGAGTTTGTAAGCCAAAGTGACATCCGTGTTCATACGACCTCATAGATATATCATATAACGATTTTAGTGTATTAATGGAACATGATAGCACATTCATATTGCCTTTTAAAAAGTTGAGCTTTAAAGAAAATTATTTAATTCAATCTTGATATTTTATTTACAGATATCTTATTACCTCATCTTTAAGATTGGGATACACTAAAATCTTGTCCAATATTCCAAGATGTATAAAATTATCATTTCTTTAATCACAAGGGTGCTATTCTTTTATAAGAAGTCTTCTCGAACCACAACATTTACCTTTTTTTTTTTTTTTTTTT